CGTTCTCAGGGAAGACCAAAGCCGCCGTAAAATTATCCAATCCTTTGCTGCCGATAATTATCCCGTCTGTTATTGCGGCTATTATAGCTGATGGGCCGCGGGACTGCCATCCCAGGCCTGCGGCATGTTTAAGTCAGGAAGAAGGAGGAGGACTCCGTGAGATAGTCAGCTGTGTCGAAGGTCACTCCCCGTTGTGTGGAGAGGCCGGCCGTCACAGAGCCGTTGATGTCGGCGCGCAGAGCGCAGACATACCTACCGGTGACGCGGCCGCTGACTCAGCGTAGCATAACGTCACCGACAAAATCGCAGTCTGTCTCAGAGCGTCAACGGTACTCCGGTCCGTCGTCGACGGAGACGAGCAAGGGTAACACAGGCTTTGGGAATGCCAGGCAAGTAGCTGCTCGGACAATGGCATCACTACAAGGGCCACTGCCAGTACTCATTGGGTAACTGTCTTTCGCGGAACGACTATACCTAATCGTTTATCGATTATAAACAATTGCAATCAGGCGATAATTATCACCCTACTCTGTGGCATTCGGCGTCCGCAAACAGCAAATCGGCATAGCTAGCACTGATACTGGGCGGGAGCAAATAAACACTATCTCAGTCGCCAGCCAAACAAGGGAAGTTCCCGGGAATGATACACAACCCGGGCAGCGCAGTTGGCCAGACGGGGCGCAGCAGAAGGAAGGTTATTACGGGCTTCTTATCAACCATTCAAGCGCAGAAGGCGCTTAGCTGAAAATATGCCAAAATTATTCCTCACGCCGCGTGATTATCGTCTTCCAGAGTTGATCCACACTCAGCAATTAGCTGCATGTATTAACAGTTTTAACATGAATGCCCAGAACCAGGGAGTGGGTCGTGTACGCCGCCCTTAGTCATGTCATGGTCGACCCTCGATGTAGGATATGTTGACATATTGACCGTGTCAACACATCCAATATATGTCAGCTCGTGTCCACAAATCCAATATGTGTCAACTTGACCCACCCACACAGCCGCCAGCGTACGCATTACCAGTGCCTGGAACGTCCGCATTAGGTCGCACGAGACACGAACTGAGCGTGATGCGGTCAGCACATCCGGTGACATCATGGGCGCGGAAAGGGCCGATTACTTCCAGTGTCACCGCGCATAGGCCAGTTTCCTGAAACGGCCCCAGCCGCACGACCGAGACGTAAGCAAACAGCCCCGCTGACCAAAACAGTCTTCATGCTTTGTGCCTCACCCAGCCGGACCGCAGCCAGCACTAAGTCTGGCGGCAGCATTGGACAAAGACGGCCGTGACTAGAGGCAATCGTATCGGCTGATTACCATGCTCAATTGGTCGGCGGGCCGGGGGCGCGGCCCCTCCGGCCGACACCCGAGCGGCGCAGCCCAGCCTGCATCGTAATTAGCCGAGGGCGCAGCGCAGGCCCTGTCCGTCCCACGAGCGTACAGGTCCGCCATCTAGCGGGCGGCCGGAGGAGCCGAGCCCAGCTGCTCGTCCCGGGAGTGGCGCAAACCGGACGTGCGGTGCAAGCTTGCGCCATGCGGCGGCGACCGCCCCGCGCCTCGTGCAGATATGAGACAGGGAAGCGGTCGCACCCGCTGCCTAGCCACTGCAGACGGCTGAACACGCCGGAAACACCGACCAAACACCATAGGTCCCTGAGCGCATGACGGAAGATTGAAGCAGATTGAAGACTGAAGCGTGCAACGTAGGAAGGATGAAAATATAGCAATTTAACAAAACGTACATAAAAATATTCCTACGTTATATCTAGATCAATTGCTGCACAAAGTAGCCTGGATGGTCACTGCAACATGACCCGGTCAGCCACTCAAGAGTCACTGACCACTTCAGGTCCGTGACCTCTGACAAAGGTATGTCAGCCAGTAAGAGTAAGAGTGGTCAATCTAGCCGCTGAAGGGGATAAATCGGTCACTCACGGAAGTGAAGTCAGCCAGCCATTGACGAGTGCCAGTCAGTCAACTACAGGGTGTCCCAGAAGTCTTGAAGCTTTTTTATTTTTGTCGTGTGACCTTGCTATGCCACCGATTAAGGCGAATCATGCCTCAAACGAAAGAGAATGAACTGAAATTTTGTATTTTCATGCGTAGAGCACCACTTTAGTCAGATGGCCCCCGTTGTGAGTCGCACAAGATTGAGCACGAGAGATCACGTTCTTCGCTGCCGCCAAGATCTCCCGGTTTGCGAAACACCGGTGTCGCCATACCCGTTTCTTGTCAGCTTCAGAGTCTTATTCCCTGAAGCGAGCGACATAATATTAGCGACATAGTTATATTTGCGACGGGTTGATATTCGTTTTAGCCCCATAATAATGCGACGAATCAAAGGATTACAACGGGCTGTTGCTTAGCGCGCTCAAGCAGCTGAGCCTTATTTTTGCAGGATGCGTGCAAACTCTGATCAGCAAATCATTATGTTGCTCATGTTTTCTCCGAGATCCAATACTCTGTTTCCTGGCTCGCTTCATGAAATAAGGCTCTGAAGCTGACCAGAAACGGGCATGGCGACACCGGTGTTTCGCAAACCGGGGGATCTTGGCGGCAGCGAAGAACGTGATCTCTCGTGCTCAATCTTGTGCGACTCACAACGGGGGCCACCTGACTAAAGTGGTGCTCTACGCATAAAAATACAAAACTTCAGTTCATTCTCTTTCGTTTGAGGCGTCATTTGCCTTAATCAGTGGCATAGCAAGGTCACACGACAAAAATAAAAAAGCTTCAAGACTTCTGGGACACCCTACCATGGCCAGTCATTCCCTCAAAGGGGTCATCTGAGACACTCACAGGGTCCGGTGAGCCGGAGCAGCTCCCCGACACTGCAGCTGCGTCTTAACATGCCGAACTGCCACTCCCGTCACGCCAGCAGGGGTTGACCAGAGTGTCGTCACTCGCCGTAGGCACTCAGATCACGACCACGATTCGGTCGTCTCGCACACCGTTTCACGCTCACTGAGCCTGGTCGGCAGCACCACTGCAGACGGCGTGTCCACCTCGGTCGCCCGGTGGACAGTGGCCACTGGCCGCACCGCCGAGTCACCCCCGTGTCGGCCCCGGTGATCAGCGCGACCACCTCAGCGGCGCCGCACCCCGACGGGTTGGCTCGAAGACCGACTGGCCGCCCCGGCTGCCTTATCACTGGCGGCTCGCGCAGGATGCTCGTCACCAGCTGGCGTCACGGAGACCACACCGGATGGGATGACGGCGTCACGCGTCACATGGCGCGCCGTTACGCGTGCCAGCGCCGCTGCGTGCCAGTGTCCGTGGCACCGGGCGGCAACAGACTGCAGAGCATCGGCGAGTCGTCTCGGAACGAGGAAGATCTACGAAGTACGGAGCCCTAGGGACGCAATATCATAAATGCCGTGCTCTTCATTCGACGCCCACGACACTAGATAACATCTTCAATGATACTGGTATTGATAGATAGATATCTGAGTTATCTTATGTATTTGCTTCGAGATTAGATTTGGAGATTCTTTCATAAACCTAGCCGAATCTTTTTTGACGGCTCTAGTTCCGAGCGTGTTTTCTCGACGGCTTCCGGATCGGATTCTGCATCCCAGGCGACCTCTATCAGTCCTACATGCAAAATACGTCATAAACATTGAACAATACGAGCATCTTATATGACCATAATGAGATTATTACGACTGAAGACCTGTGACTGCGGCGATGTGAAAAAGATGTTAGTCATGGGTAATGAGTATGACTACAATGAAGTTGAAACCACATTTCGAGCAAGCATCTGACCTTTGGTAAAGTGCCTAGTCCTACATGACATGGTAGGCCTAGCACTACAGGTAGGGTACAATTATAATGCAGCAGCACAGGGCTTCTTATTAGACTTGAAGCATGGCTGCATAAGTAACTATTGAAGCTTTGATAATTGATATACATGTACCAGTGCCTAAAACACTACATCTGTGGATGCCTAAGGCAATGCCTGTAACCTCAGTAGGTATATAAGTTACTGGTCTAGAGGGTCATGTTTGCCCATGAGAGGTATGATAAACCTGCAGAGAAAAAAAAACAGGATGGATGAATGCAGAAGACAAAGTTCAAATAAGAAACACTGACTCCTAGGGAGAGAGCTTGTTTGGCATTAGAATTGTCAATGTATGACTGTAAACAGAAAATAAGTTTCCACAATCCACATCTCTGGTAACACAAACATGGATGTGATGAAAATATGAATGTGGATGTGATGAATGTGATGTGACACACATATGTGATGGTCAAAGGAAAAACATTGCAATGCTGAGGAACTGCACTGCATAAAAAACTTCTATCAATACTTGAGACTGGGCCTCACCTCTGACCTCAGCTGGGTTGACTTCTGTATCAACTGTACAGAGCAAACAGAATGAAGCAGACCCCATTCACCCTTCCTTTTCCCTTGGCACAATTGCAATGAGACAAAGTTTCAATTCAAGGCTATAGAAAGTTTACCATGAAGTAAATATTTTCCATGGGTGAATCCAGTTGCCATTCCAATTTCGAAGAACTTCTAATTTCTAGGTCACAACGACAAAGGAACTTGAATTATGTGTCTGTTTTGAAATAAATTTGAATCACCTCACAACAAGTTTAAGCAAAGGAATGAAATAAAACAGCTCCTCCATATCCTCAGTTTCTACTCTCAGCTGGTGCATCTGTTGTAGACATCTGTCATAGGATGATAGGACACCTACACTGCTGAACTGAACTGGAATGGCACATTCATGGGGCAATCTTACTATGGGAGGTGTTTCTGCGCACTACAGTGCGCTGTGCTGCTGTGTTGGTGCAACGCGCAAGACAACTTCGGCTCAATGCTCCAGCTTTGCGAGTATCCAAATTTGCTGATGCTTCCATGGAAACCAAATAGGTACTCTGTTGTGTTCAGCTCACAGCCGTGAAACACCGCCCTGTTTTACAATTCAAGGCAGCAAAATTGTCAAAAGCACCATTGAGATGACAGAAATGGAAATGAGAACACTCACCTATTTCGCCATTTGCATCCTCTGTTGAATCGGGCTTTGCTGCTTTGTTGGCATTTATATTTGGATCAGAATTGCTCTTCTTTCTACTTAAAAAATTCCTCATTGCATGAGCACCTCTAAAAGTCTCTTTATCTGTCATCTCATTAGCAAGGCACTTTCCTTATATATCAAAAATTCCTTGAAAATTAGCAGTCAACTATGAAAAACGAAAATCCAGGCTCTGAATCACACACCATCTCAATCAGCTTGGTCTTGTTACATGTAGGAATCTTGCTTGTTATAACGGTATGAGCTAGTTCAGCTACTCAAATTTTGTTCAGCTTGATGACTAATAAGTCTCAATAATTGAAATGTAACACAAAACGTGATTACACGAATAGTGACTCACTGCACGTCGCTTTAGAGGCAAACGATTTCAAGGCCGAATCACGAGACACAAATTTCAGCAACAGGTAACAACGCCAAGAACACGAACAAAAGACTACGCCCATTGCGATTGGTTGATGCCAGTTGATGCAGGGAACACTTATTATTCCCCGTGTGAAACGACAAAGCATGCTGGCGATTTATGAATGGCAGGTGCAAATTGGGTGCAAATCAATATTTATGCAACTTTGATGTTACAATTGACATTAAAATACGAATAAGGTTGTGTTTAAAACACCAAGCCTCATCTATGGCTGAATTGTAGTAATGCATGTTTCATCTGAGCTTGTCTGCACAAGATGTAGGGCAACATTGGTAAACAATATGTTCAGAAGATATTCAGCTTTACATTCTTTCCTAACCCTTTCGTCTCAAGTTTTATCCGCCTGCTGTCAGCATAATATTGATTAGGTATACACCGGTATTCCATATTCATATTCACACCATATACACCATATTCATTATACCGGTATACACAATATCTGGGTGTACCTAATAAGAAATCCTTCCGAACACATGGAACGCAGACTATCTGTGGCCCTTCTCATGAATTTCTTAGTTCAAATAATTCCTAGGGATAGTGTATGGCGCATGGGACAGGTCCCAGTCCTCTAGTTGGGAAGAAATCCATACAGGACCAGTCGTTATCCGCCACCATGGAACCAAGGCATACCTATAAAAACATGGAATGTAACACGCCATGCATGGAACGGTCGACCCGGTACAGTGTGACTAGATGGCGCTCAATGTTCACCAGATGGCGGTAGCGGCGCTGTGAGCGACGCATTTCTGCCCAGTCAGCCGCAGACCCCCATCCCCTCATACATAGGGGCTTGAAATGAGTCCTGACACCTGATCTGATCCCCTCTGTGTAAAACCTTAGTAAAGCATGTTTGTTTGAATAGTTCAACCATGGAAAAGTGACTTTGGTGCTAACATCCGCCAAGCTGATTCCACTTTCCGACAAAATTCCAATTTAGTTCGCAATAACCAGTTCGCCCTTCGGCACGGTTGTCTCTCATCCCGCATGCTTCTCTCAGTCACTGCTATACCCAAAGCCAAACTCATGGTCGCGCCGCATAAAGATCTATTCACGCTCACAACGTCAACAGTGGACAGAGACGACCAGAGGCGCTGACGACGCTCGCACTGCGCCGCTAGCAGTTCCCCGAACAGACCCCCAGCGCCGGCGGCACCCTCCCCAGCACCACGTCAGTGTCTGCCGCCCCTCACACCGCGTCACAGACGGCCCGGACTGACGGCCGCGTCACCACACAACCCGAGCGGACACTGCCCCGCACCGCCGTCCCTGCCGAGCACAGAGAAGCGATCGGCTCCGGCAACAGGGATGATAGTTAACCGAACGACGAGTTAGCAGTCGCCAACATTTACAGAGAACAATGATTCATTTACCAACAGGTTATTTTGACATTTCCCCATAAAAGCCGTTCGCTTACCATGCATCACTCGTAGAAATATCTCCTGTATGGAATGGAACATATCATTAACGTACTCATATATGAGCATTGCACGCCCAAAGTAAACAGAATAGCTGATAAGTGGAGGAGCCGAGCTCCTTACCGAGAATTACGGCACACATTTCACTAGTAGCGGAATAATCTGAAAGTAACCAGATGGGGCCGTTGCTGCCACTACGTGTAAAGCATTCATTACCAAAAATAAAATTAGCTAGGGGCAATGAATACGCTCCGAGTACGAGTACATTACACGGTACACCGCCCAGATTTGTCATAATATATCTAGATTTGCCAACGACATAGGGCTGTCTGCAGCATAAATATATCCACAGGAAAATGACCACTTCAATGATCCATTCAGTACTCTTCTCGACCGGTGGAAGCAGGCCTATCTCGCCCGTCCCATGTCAACACGAACACCCAGACAGAACGATCTCTACCGATCGCACCCACCCACAACACCCATCACTTGGAGCTCTCAGGCGCGGCACACTCGCACCTAAAAATAAGCCTTCCGGTACCCGAGTGTCTTCATATCATCCAGCGAGCGCATTCACGGCACACCTCGCACTCAACATTGTCGGTACGGAGAAAGGATGGTCCGTCCGGGCGCTGTCGCTAACAGCCATGTGCGTGCGATATGCAGCTCTGTTTTGACGGTCCCTAGACAGATGGAGCTCGTAGACACGCGTCCGACGTTCAGTCATGTCCGTCGAGCATGGGCCTCATAAAGAGGACAGAAGATGCCCGGGCACGGTCAGTATGCCATTACGGCGAGACGGGTCACAGTGACGGCACGCGCCTCCCATCCGATAGATTCTCCAGCACGACGGCACACTAGCGACGCTGGGCTGTGGCGTGGACGTCAGCGTGGGGGAGACATTGCTAACCGGGCGGCAGGCGGGACAGGGCGACAGGCGGAGCGAGGCGTTGACGCACTCCGGTGAGGGTGTCCAACGTCCGTGGTATGGCTGACGTAGTCGGCTATTCCCATCAGGTTCCTGGTATCACAGGGGACCAGATTTGACTTTCGCGGCCTTCTGAGGCCTGGACCACATACGAACACCAACAGCCACCCTGGATCCCTCTGTCAAACCACGGGACCCCATTGCGTCCCTTCAACTATTTCCACCGTCTCGAATCCAATGGCATGTCTCTTCTCGCCGTCCCCTACCGCCACCGCCGCCCGCCATTGCCGCACCCATCGCCACTCTAACCCAATCGCAGGGAGCTGCAGGAGATTCACTTGCGCTCTAGACTGGCCCAGGCGTCGTCCTCCCAGCTCTGCCACTCGTCCTCCTTGCTCTCTCCGCCGAGGTCGATCAGACTCTTCTGGTCGCTCCCGCCGGCCTTCTTGGTGCGGGACTTGGCCTCCTTCGCGGCCTTTGTTTTGGGAGCTGCTATCTGGGCGTCATCCCAGGCGGCGCCCGAGCCCCACTGGGCGTCGGTAGACGGTGACCTGGGGGCACACGGGGTGGGTCAGGTCAACCGGGGCGCGGCGTAGCTGTTTCAGGACAAATGTAGGGTCAGTTTGAGTCACACTTGATACTTTGCGCTCAGACAAGGAAAGATAATGTTGGCTGTTAAATGATGACATCAAAGATCGTTGTAATAAGACAAGAAGACCAGAGCCTCCGTGGGCCAATCTCATGCGTGCCAGTGACAAGTGGAAAAGTTAGCTGACGTTCCACTTGTCTAAAAAAATGCAGCTTTAATCGGCAATGTCGGAAAATCACACACAAACGAATAGCAAATGCTGAGGTGATGATAGATTCAGCTGTAGAGGTTAGGGTCTCCGCTGCCCAGGGGGTGAGGGGGGAGGGGGAAGGGGTCGGTGCATATATGGTGGGGGTCACGACTCACGATCTCCATAAGGAAGGGATAGCCGGTTTCACAGTGGTCAAGGTTTTCTATTGTGAGAGACCAGATAAGGAGAAGGGAAGGAGGGAGGGAGGGAGGGAGAGGCAAAGGAAAGAGGGAGGGAGAGGGAAGGAGGGAAATCCGCTTGTTGCCGGGACAAGGCCGCTAACTCCGCCAAACAACGGTGGCTGAAAGGAAAGCCGCAGAAAACCAGTTTGACGGATTATATCGCAGATTATATCGTCAGACTTGCGGATAGAGACGGGACACAGACAGACCTCCACAATCAACGGGTGACCGAAGTGCCGCTTCCACTGCCCTACAAACATATGTTGGTTAGAACGATAGTTCCATATATACAGAGCTGATTTCTATCGCGTAATCGCGGTGGGACTGCTGACCGTCGAGTCCGCAAATGGCACTGTCATAGCGGCCGTGACACCCTTAGCTCCACCACCGCACCGTAACGGTCGTGACGTGACACTCGCCGTGACGGAACGAAGCGACGTGACGATGCTACCCCGCTGATCGATGCCGTCAGCCTTCCGGCCGGGTGACGTTCCCGTTCTAGTCGGGGTCCCCAATGACGCATCAGTGACAGCAGCGTGACATCCAGTGCAACCCAATAACAGCGTAACGCATCCCAAAGTCATCCCAGGCCCTAACGCTCCCACCCGTCTATTCCATGCAGACGCTCCCGCCCGTCTCTTTCAAGCAGATTGATCAGTTTCAATCCCCCACGGACGAATCCTCATCCGGTCCGTTTCCACTGGTCCCCTTTACCCTTGTCCCCGTCCCGTCTCACCCTCCCTTAGCCCCCCCCCCAAACTGGTCCCACTCTACCTCACAGCCCTCCCCCGGACCCCCGACTCGGTATCTCAACAGTCCACGGGCCCATATCCTCCTCACTTTGGACTTAGTCCAAGGGCGTCGCCCATCGTTTAGTGCCAACCTCTCAAGGTCCACCAGTTCCCTCACTTCAATAGTTTGGAGTTATCGTGCTGCATAAGGCGTGATCAATTGAATTTAGCTCAAAAACAGTCTCAACGCTTTTAGATCGCTAACCATTACGGGCGATGACTTGGTTAGTCAGAGAAATAGGTATCACCAATTTGGCTTATTCGGAATTTAGTTCCGCAGTGGTATGAATGTGCGCTACTGTACCGCCAGTAGTCAGACATAACGGATTAGGGATGCGTGCAGTCAAATCAAATTTGGCTGTAATAAGTCCAGCGACTTTGAAAGCTTAAGATACGATCAAACATGTGCGCACGTGCAGAAGCAATGCCACCATTCAGGAAGGCATAAGGCATAGACTACTATCGGTAATGGCTTCTGTGAATTATTTAGGAGCCAAAACCCGACAATGAGCTCCGAGCTTGAGCGAGCCGAGTCGCATTCAATCAGACAGTGAGAAGAATGGTGTGACGTAACCAACAGAGTCCCAATTCGAAGTTCTCCTTCACATACGCATTGAATCACGTTACAGGCCAGCTAATTATTTGTTTGTTTATTTGTTTAGCTAAAAGCAGCGTTAGAATAGTGACCATTTCTGAGCAATTTCAAAGTCAGGCTAGCAGCATTACTCCAGAAAGCAGACATAAACAATCACTGTGCGGATCTCTCAGAGTCCGGTACCGGCGTCGTAACGGCTAAACCACTCAACCGCCCACACAGACTCGCATTGTTTATTGAAACAATGCCTAGGCACAGTCACAGCCATGAGCCAGTAAAATTCAGCAGCATGTGCTGATGAAAATTGCATAAACTCTCCATCCGCGGCCCAGTTAGTGCTCTAATTGGCCCAAATGCGCCGACGCTGCAGACTAGGTTCGGCAGTCTCTGAGTGTCAGTCCGGCCGGGTATTGATTTCACAGAGGCGGCGCCGGCTGCCGCGCAGTTGCCGCCGTTACTCGTCACAGTCCGAGAACGGCAACCTGTTGATTGTATGTGGGCCACCGTCTACAGTATGTGGGTTATATGTTCAGTCTATCGATCGGCGCGCTCCGACGGCAGGGTGGATGTCGTGTGAACGGTTTAGACGGCGACGCTTAGCGGTAGTGACAACACTGCGGATATTGGTGGACGCGACAATAGCCACAAGAATGTGTTCTCACAAACATTTGCTACCAAGGTTGAAACTCGCGTCTGTCAAACGCTCGTTTCCAACAAAACTTTTTTTTTCAAATATTCACCACCGACGAATTAAACTAAGGCATGAGTCGGCCGCGTAAAATCTTGCAATCGTTTGGGAATTTCAATCACTGCTTGGATGAACCCTCGGGATTGGTTGACGGAAGGGACTGGCATACATTCCACCAGGGAGGTGACACTGAAGGGCCGACCTTGGTCCCAAAACAACACCTGTGCGCGCGTGGTGTCTGTCGGGCCGCTAAAAACAATCACAGGTGATGCCTGTGTGGGGACGGGAAGGCACGCGGAACGTGTGTCTTGACCTTAACATGACTATGTAGTCCCCCCCCCCCCGCCATATCATCAGCACAACCGGTCAAAGAATCGATCCAGCAATAGCCACAACCGTGAAGCGAATAGATACAACATAACCCAAACATTACAAAAGCAATGCTTCGTACTTGGAGATATATGTACTTATGTAGACCAAATTGAAAAGGAAGAAATGGGGATTTCGGATGGTAGATACAAAGAATGGCCGACAGAGTAAGAGAAAGAGTGAAGAGGAAAGACTCCCGAAGTCACGGACTTCGTAAGGTAAGGCGACGTTACTTCAGTGTAGAGGAAGGATCTACGGGAAGCATGGGGAGTAGTTATCTCCATATGCTAGGGCAAAAACTGACGACCCACAGGTAAACTCACGGCAGTCGGTTGAAACTCACGTTTTGCTGGGTGACGAGCTCCAGCCCCAGGAGTCGCCGCCGTTGTCCCCGGACATGAGCGGCGCGCTGCCCTGGTCACCCCTGCGGCAGGAGAGACGGGTGGGGGTCAGTGCGGGGAATGAGGGGGCACAAGGTCGGATCTGGTGTAGCACGACCAACACATGATGGAAAGAGTTCAAACATTACTGTAAGAGCGAAGTTTCTTTTCAGGCAGGTGAAAGCGATAGATGCAGCATTTGATAGTTCTATGCCAGCATTCAGCAATAACTTTCAGATACGAGATCATGCTCTTAATTTATTGGAGTAAAAAAACAAAAGCAAGGACAACAAAGTTCGAATCAAAAACATAACAAAGAACAGTATAATAAAATTAATAAGCTGAATGAAAGCAAAGTTTTCAAAGATTCGGAACAACGCAACAAGACTGGGTCGAGCATCTGCTCGGCGCCAGGCCAGCCTGACAACGGCCGAGTGCAGTGGGTCTCATCATGGCGGTCGCCATAATAGTCACGTGATTGGCCTGACTCGGCCAATTCGGCAGATTGGCGCCCATGGTCACTGGGAGCGGTTAGGTCACGTGACGTCTGCACACCACATGGACAGGCACATTACGGCTCTCGGCTGGACAGACGAGGCACTCAGGAGAGAACGAGGGTGTGACATGAACCGGGCTCCTCTACACGAAGGGAGGGCGACACCAGGTCACCCTTCTACGTTGAAACCCACAAAAGGATACAGCGGCTAGTCCACTGCAACCCAATGGCAATGTCCAGTCCCGCTGTCTCAGCTCAGCCTACCAAGGACAACTGACAACGGTAACATTCTGCAGCACGTTTAGCTACTGTTCGACTCCGAGGCAGAAACTTGCCCTGTTCATACACCCATCTATCTAAACAAGTAACCGATAGCTATAATTCGCAGCTTCTTTTAATCACAATGGCAGTTAGAATTAATTATGGGAAATTCGCTACCGCTTCCAACGTCCAGATTTGACGAGCCAATAAGCCTCCCAAGCGGCCTCAAACACTGGAAAACTGTCATTCATCCCAGGCACCTCGCCATCACATATCGGCCGGTCAACATTGCGGTTAGAATACGACGTAAGCAAAACTAACACCGAAAGTCATAACACCAAGACACAGATGACGTCGCGAAAAGGAAATAAACCGTACGCTATACGGCTGCATTCAAAGTTATGCTCAAGTGCGTAGCTACACCAAACGGCGCCAGAAGTGCGCAGCCACGCCCTACGTTTGAGGTGCACAGCACAGCCACACGTCATAGGGGCCTCGTTTCATAAAGCGAGTCCGTAACTTACGCCGGTTTTTGGTCTTGTATTGCAAGTGTATGTGAAGCGATAAACCTATTTCCCCTTCTCCCTTCTGTTCTTGCGTGCAAGATAAATAAATTTAACGATCCAAACTATCGTCATCGCTTCACATGTACTTGCAATACAAGACCAAAAAACGGCGTAAGTTACGGACTCGCTTTATGAAACGAGGCCAGGGTCGGATTTGCGCACTTCGGCCAATTTCCCCATGGGTGGCACTGTACAACGCGCATTCTGCAACTATACCCAACAATTTGGAGTACGCAAGCATGCCAAACCTTATCGAAAAAAATGTGTGACTCAGATGAGATAAGATAGAAACACAGTTCCACTCAAGTTCTGAATTCAAAAGGTGCAACGAGCCCTTACAAGTTGCAATATGTGGTGGCTGTAGTCGAACGACAGGGGAAATGTTCCAGATAATGTACGCATGTCACGGAACTGCGGCAACTGCGCACATGCTATCTAGGCACTTCACAATGGCTTACCACGAAATCAGGTTTGTCCAAGGAAAAATCGATTTCGTATCTCAAATCAGGCTTAATAAGTTTGCTAAGGGCTATTGGCATTAGTGGTAAGATATTTATCGCTTGACCATGACATTTTCTTGATGCATTTGTGCAAAGACGATGGCACGCGTCAACAGTTACATTGGTATAAGGCCAACTATGCATTCATGGCTTATTATTATTGACTGTCTCCCCAATTACGACTAGGCTTCAATCGATATACCGGGAACACCATGCAGATATCCTATGTTTTACAAGTTGGTATTTGGTGATACCATGAACAGCAGAGGATAACCCGAGCTCACTCAAACAGCAGAGCATACAGACACTCGGAGGGGAACACGCAAGGTCCTTTGTAACCTTCACAATGTCTAAGCATGGATGAAGGAGAACCGTCTAAGCTAGCCATTAGCCACTGCGGGATACACGGTGGTTCAAAGATGGATAAAGCCATGCATTTTATGGGAGGGGGGGGGGGGGTAACTCATCTAAAAAACTCCGCATCAACTCCAAAGTTGTGACCGGGGATGACTTCGGACGGTGCCGCCACCGTGCAATGGTTTCCAGTCTCACCCAGTGGCCGTACCACAGACTGCCGGGACAGTCCAGATGGCACTTCAGGATTGACCGCCGCGCCCTAATGGGCGCCCGGTACTCGGTAGGCGCAATCCGGACCACCCATTAGCACAGAAAGCTACCGTTCTCTAGACTGACCCGGTTAGGAGACACTTGCTGGAAGACGGTCGTTGCGCGAGCCACAAATAGAACAAATTTGGCCGGGTGCAGCTATTAATAGCTGTACGGTAAAAGGCATTGTGTTTTAAATCGAAAATAAGCACCAGTATAATCTCGACGGCAAATCCTGTCCAATGTCCAGAAAGGTGTGTGGGTGAAGCATCCCGTTCTCTGCAGGATTTACGACGCATACAGCATGAGGCCATCACTACATCAGGGCACTGGTCGGCGGGGCCAAAATACAAGCCTGTACAACATAGTTCCCTTACAATGGGACCAGAGAACGTGATATGACATCCAGAGGGAAGCTATTGTTCAGTGGGCGCGGCGAGAAAAGAGGCCACACTGGCTTGTCAAAAATACAAAACATGGTTGCGCAGTTCTCGTTCGGTCAGGCAGTCGCCCACACAAGTCAGAAGCGAGTTTGTTTTGAGGTTGGCTTTTAAACACATGAAACCGGATATCATCATCAAGGCAAGAAATTGTTTTTGATTCATTTGTACGATCACATTTATACGATCATTTGCACGACAAAAAAGGAAAGCTGGAGAAGATAAATGCATACATATTTTTGACACGCGAATAAGTCAAGATCACGGTGCCCCGTGCCGTCTACCGACACGGGAGAGGAGCTGCCGATGGCAGTACGGCACCCACGGCCGCATACCGACACGTGCCCACCATCGGCAGCCGGACCCGGCACCAGACCGCCCCCGCGCCCCGACTCAGAATCCGACAGTTTGACACGGAGCTGCGAGTCACAGCACGACGTGGCGGCTCTCGATGTGCCAGCACTGATGGCCCGTTTGCAGTAGAAGGTGACCCCGACGCTCTGACAAAAGGACAATCGGCAGAGGTGAAAAAGACGAGAAGTTGTCAACTAGCTTCAGCTCGTAGATGGAGAGTCGAGAGAGTAGGAGTGTTCTCTCTCTCTCTCTCTCTCTCTCTCTCTCTCTCTCTCTCTCTCTCTCTCTCTCTCTCTCTCTCTCGCTCTCCTTTTCCTCTCCCCTCTCCAGTATGGAAGAGCGTCAGTGATGCTGACGGGCTGCCGGCGTATTTACAAATTGCAACCGAGCTCCGCCGTGGGGTAAGGTGGGCAGGGGTTTTCGCACTACGGCTGCGGTTGAACTACCGTCTGTGGTAGAAACTTCAGGACGATGGCGCGTTTCATACGAAATCTGGCGCAATGTTTGTTTGCTTCTGAACTTGTACTGTTATTGCTGTGAATTCTTGAAGTGGGAGTGTTTCAATAACAATTTGTGGATTATTTGAGTTTCTTTATATAAACATAGAATAGTATTATGAAACATTGTGTGGAAACACAAATACTGATATGATCAATTACTTAGTTTGGGAATTGATGCACATTTTGTAGAGATTTGTCTGGCAAATGGTGTAACAAACCTCAAGCCTATCATGATCTGAAGCTGTTGTAACAATTCAAAATTGCTTTGATGTTACATAGTACCTTGTTGGAAAGACTGGAGCATGGTTCAAGATGATGTGTAAAAATTCAAGATCTGTGCGTTGGGCTCATGCCTGACGCCTCCGTGATCTAGACACTCTGTTGGCTGAGTAAAGGCCGATCGCCCACTGGTGGCAGTTCCTGCTCCTGGAACCACCCGCCACAGTGGGGTCACGACAGGGAAAAAAAAAAACAAGAAGAACAGAAAAAAATTGTTGAGACCATGACCGATGGTCCGTCCCCTTCGCTGGCTCGTCTCTGACTGTCCTATATCCCGCGCTCCCCTCGTGCCTCCCGCCCCAGCCCGCCCGCTCCGCTTATCTCTCTCCCTCCCACCCTCCCTCCCTCTCCCTCGCTCTCTCCGGCATCTGTCTGCCCTCGCCCAACGCCTCTTAGCCGGGGGCCGCTAAGTTGCCATTGGGCTCATGCCTGACGCCTCCGTGATCTAGACACTCTGTTGGCTGAGTAAAGGCCGATCGCCCACTGGTGGCAAGTTCCTGCTCCTGGAACCACCCGCCAAACCCCGCCAAACGGAGCGACCACGCAATAGGCCACGTAGCTAATTGTAAGCTCCTAAGAGCTTCCACAGCCACTCGTAGTGTTCCCTAGAGATCGGGACCGGAACCATCCGGAGCGGTCTGCCCCCAAGGGCAGGAACCCGAGAGCTGGTCCAGCCCACTGTAAGCTCCCAAGAGCTCACAGCCACTCGCCATGCTCCCTTGAGCTCGCGACAGGAAAACCCCCGTAGCAGTCTGCCCCCGGGGCAAGGAACTCCCAAGCTTAGCCAGCCAACTGCAAGTTCCCAATTGAGCCCCCACGGCCACCTATCATACTCCCTTGAGCTGCGCCAGGAAACGCCCGTAGCGGTCTGCCCCGAGGGCATTAAGCTCCCAAGAGCTCGCGCAGTCAAGTGGAGAGCTCCCGAGAGCTGCCACGGCCACCCGTCATGTTCCCTAGCTCGCGCAGGGGAAAAACACCCGAAGCGGCCTGTCCTTGAAGGCAGGAAGCCCCCGAGAGCTTGTTTAGCCAACTTAAAGCTCCC